CCCTGCACTTGTCTGTGTTGAATTCCATCCTATTCTCATCCACCCACCTCTGTAACCTGTCTAGACCTAGCTGGATTCTGTCCCTCCCCTTCAGCGTACCCACCTTGCCCCACATTCTTATACTATTCCCTAGCCATCTGTCCAAGTTTCCACATATTGTAAACTTCCTTTTTTTTGTTTAAGCTCACTGAAGAGTTCTCTGCTAAACCAAGATGGTCACCTGCCATATTTGCTGTTCTTCTTGTACATCATGATGCTTTGTTCCTGTACCCTCAGTAAGGTTTCTCTAAAGTACAGCCAGCTCTCCTGGACTCCTCTCCCCGTTAGACTGGCTTCCCAGGGAATCCTGCCCATGAGTTCCCTGAGCAATTTGAAGTCTGCATTTCTGAAGTCCAGGGTCCATACTCTGCTGCTCTCCTTTCTTATTTTTGTCAGGATCCTGACCTCAATCATCTCATGGTCACTGCTGCCCAAGTTTCCATCCACTTCTACATCCCCCACGAATTCCTCCGTTTCTGAGCAGCCGAGGAGCATGGCCCCTAGTCAGTCTTTCCAGCACTTGCACCAGGAAGTTGTCTCCAGCGCTCTCAAAAACCTTCCTGGATTGCCTGTGTACTGCTGTATTGCCATCCCATCAGATGTCATACATCTATAGCAGAAACCCATTATGACATCACTTGTTTCTCTCCCCTCTAACCTTATCCCAGAAACTTTCAACAGGCCTCTCTGTAATTTCATAGTGGAGCTTTGAACAATCATATGGCTTTTTTACAAACAGTGCAACTCCTCCTCCTCTTTTCCCGTCTGTCTTTCCTGAACTATTTGTACCCATCCATGACAGTTGTGTCTGTTTTTAAAAAGTCATTAGGAAGACATCTTGGCAATGTCTGTATGGTGTAAAAGAGATACACTGCCCCAGTTCCAGAATTAGCACATGCAGAGCTAGTGCAGAGTATCACTGTGAGTGTGCAAATAAGTTGTGCTGAAAATGGCTCTGCCACTTCCTGTTTTTGGTCTAACACAAGATAATCTCTGTGTAGTGCTAGCCTGTGCCATATGGACACATCCTAAAACAATGTCTGAACAAAGGCCTGAAAATAGTCTGAAGAAAAACAGAATTCCTTTCTCTTCTGTTTACCTAAATAAAACAAACAAGCTGCTACAATGCACTGAAGTGAAAACTAGACTCAAGAGATTGAAAATAATTAGAAATACTTATTTTTGACAACACTTCAATGGTTGTGCATTTGGCAGAACTAAAAATTGTTGCTTCTCAAGTTCTAAATTAAACCTAAAATTATTGTTCATTTATATTCAGCACTGTAACTATTCTACAGTATTTTGGATGATGATAGCATGACAGTCTATAGAAACTGAATCTTGCAAGTGCAAGTCAGTGCTTTTTCTTACAGATTTTCAGTTCTGATATTTTGGAGTTTCTGTAAGTCCTTACGGATGGAAACTGCTAGTCACATAACCTACTGCACCACTGTGAAATATTTACAAGTTACTACCATTACAAAATTGAACTGGTGTATTCTCTTTTCAGAGCACTGGTGCCCAACTCATCCAGCCCTGCAAACCCAATCCAGCATACAGGGCCATATCTTCTGGTCTGCCAAAGTTCCCCACAGGTCCAGAAACTTGATAGCAGGACAGGTAGTGACAGCAGTATTAATTGCCACAGCTGGGAGAGCTGTGGCAATTCATGCTACCACTACTTGTCCTGGTGCCAAATACCTAGACCCATGGGAGCTATATGTCAGTCACCCCAGCTCTAGAGCAAAGACTGTTTCTGTCTATGCTACTGTAATAATGTTCACTAAGAAAGTGCTGACAATTCCAGGAAAACATCAACAGTTTCCAGGAAGAGACACCTGTTTTGCTATAAGAATGTGATAAATTGGTAAAAAGGTTATAAATACCAGCTATTTTGTTAAAGTGAAAGATTATTTTAAATCTTAGAATAATATACGTAAAGTTTTACCTTGTTAAAGCATACAATCCTTATCTTAAACAGCTTGGAGTCTCCAACGATCCTGGTTTTCTCTCTTTAAAAATCAAGAATTTTCAAAATCCATGTCTTTCCTCAATTAAAATGAAACTCCACTAATATATAGGTATCAGTTGAACACCTTTATATTTATATTTTTAGCATTTTGGAAGCCTACCAGTGCCTCAATCATTATAATAAAATAAATTCTAAATACCTATGTACTTTGGCGTTTAAGTTTTTTATCATAGAAAAATCAGAGCTTCCTTTGCTCACCAGGAGATGGGTCCAGCTGCAGCTGTTCCCTGCCCCCGTTCCCCCACACCACTGCTTTGTGGCACTGAGCAGCTCTGATATGCTAGTGCCCTTCACTCCAAGTAACAGCCCTCCTGAGCACTGCCAGTGCCCATCACTCCTGACGTGCAGCCCCCGGTCCCAGCTGGTGCCCCTTACTCCCAACCCACAGCCCTCTACCCCTCCCCTGCCAGCCCTGCTGATGCACCTGACTCCAGACCTAATGCCTCTAGGCCCCAGCCTCCCAGTGTGTGGGGCAGGGCAGGGGTGTGCAGAGCAGGGTAGGTGCCTGACCATAGGCAATGTGTCAGAGGACATGAGGAGGCATGTGCACCTGCAGTGGAGCACGAGGCTGTAGCTTGGGTGGAATGGCATCTGGCAGAAGCCACCTCCATAGTCCAGCAGGTGGCAGACAAGAGGACAGAGCAGGGTGGCAAGACTCATTACTGCTGCTGCCACTGGGACCCCCACACCAGGTTCACTGCCAACAGTGCAAGGAATAACAGACTTGTGGGGAGGCAGGGAGTGTGGCAGGCTAGAGCTGCGGCCTGGCACGCAAGTGGCTGGAGGAGGCAAGAGCAGCATGCCCCCCTCCCTCATCTGTTACTCCTGGTGCTGCTGGCAATGCAGCTGACATAGGGGGTCCCAGCAGCAATGAGTCTCGCTGCCTGGCTCTGCCCTCCCATGCTGGGTCCTACCCGCTGGGCCACGGAAACAGTTCCTGCCTGGTGTGTGTCCGGCCAGGCTTCAGCCCTGTGTACTGCTGCAGGCATACAAGTCTTGGGGGTAGGTTCCCCCACCATATCCCCTGACACATTACCTACGACACCCGACTGCTCCCCAGGAGCACGTGCAGCAGCAAGAAGCTAGCCCCCATGCCAGCTCCCTCCACTCTCCATGGGTTGCTCATGGCTCTGTCCCACTCCTCAGCTGGGCCCTGTGGCTGTGCATTCTAGCCCCAGGCCCTGCCAACCCTGCCCCATTCCCTCTGCATTTTTCCGCAGCAAGCAGAACACCTGAATCCCTGCTAATCATGACTTCTTGGGGCTCCTTTAGAATTTCAGGTAAAGATGTGATAGGATTTGATATGCAATCTACACAGTCATGCCTCCTGTGGTTCCACACTTATAGTTGGAGGCATGATTGTGGCATCGTGCATCACATCCTTTCAAGCCTTATTGCTAGTGCAGGGGGAGCCCAGGATTGTGATCCCAGGCTCTCCCTGCGCCAGTTCCAGCTGCTGAAAACCCCGCAGCTGCCAGGGCTCACAGCAAGAGCTGTGTTCCATGTTCTGCCCCCACTGTGAATCCCACAGCTGATGAGACTCAGTTTCAGCACAACTGATAGAGCTCCCAGCCACAGGGGAGCATCTGGCCACACATTCAATTAATGGGGTGATAAGAACAAGCTACGAAGTTATTACACAATTTTTGTGAAATAACTTTGTGGCTTATTGGTTGTTTTATCATGCCATTCACTGATGAAACATATAGCTGGGTCACAACTTAAGGCATGATTAGCTGGTATATCATGCCTTAAGTGTGATGTATAGATGGGGCCTTAGAGTAGAAAGAAGAGCTGAATACAGGTCCAGTATGCCAAAGCAGCAAGTTGCTTAGATTAACCAGTTGTAAAAAGTGTATGCAACTTAAATTGGGAAATGGACAAAAATATACATTAATAAACATTTTAAGTGTACTTACCTTCTCTGAGTAGAGTGGGAAGATCTAGGGCAATCATGGTTGATTCAAGAAAAATTGTTATGATTCTGCTTCAAAGTAAATAAAACACATTGGTATATTAAAAAGGAATCAAATATACAGACAGTGAAATGAAGGAGTGAAACTTAAGCATTTCTTATCTGTAGAATTCATTGTTGTATATACTTAATAGTAATATAGTTGGCTTTTTCAGAGAATTGGATGATCATATGTCCATTAATGTTGAAAACCAAAACTTATGGCTAGGGCCTGGTTTAAATCATGGCACAGTAGCTCCTTTATTCTTGGAGTTCCCCCCACATGCCCCCCCCCACACACACACTGATTGGTGGAGTCATCCATCAGCCAGCCCCATTTCATGCTGCTTGTTCATGATGGCCAGGAGGCAAAAACCACAGCTTTTAAATCTGCTGCAGTTTTTTGCATCCTGCTGCTTGCTGCGGACCAGATGGGATGCAAAAACTGTGGCATATATAAAACCACAGTTTTCACCTCCCAACTATCAGGAGTGAGTGCTGGCCAATAGGCACCTCTTCCAGTCAGCAACAGAGGACATGCAGAGAAAACACTAAGATTAAAGGAGCCACCCTACCATGAGCTGTGCCACTATTTAAACCAGGCCCTACTTATAAGTAACTGAAATTCATGTTTACAGGGCTTAAGCTGATTACCAATGGAGATCAGGAGAATATTTTTGTTTTTATGCACACCAGTATATAATTTGCATTGAGCAAGTATATCTTCTCAGAGGGGGGAGGAAGAGTACTTTACTGTGGAGAATCTGGTGTTCACTGATAGAGGCTAGATACTGAACTAGATTGTCTTAATATATGATCCTGTTTAGCACCTCCGATATTTCTGTGTGAATGCTGTACATTTGCAAGTAAGTTCCTATTTACATGGTCTGGTTTTAAAGACTAAACTCTACCATAAGTTTCATTTTAATTGTCAACAATTAAGCAAATAATAATTCTATTGATTAAATGTTTCAGGTACTCAATACCTATTTTTACCACCAAATCGCTATATTTTCCATGGTGCTGAGGTGTACTCAGATTCTGAAGATGATGTCCTATCTTCCAGTTCTTGTGGAAGTAGTAGTGATAGTGGTTCTTGTCATAGTCCAAGCTTAGATGTGGAAGATGAAAGTGAGATTGAAGAATTCTACAATGGCATGGAGGAAGAGGATGCTCCAGAAAGAGAAGAGGAAATTGCATTTGGGGAAGATGGTGTTGAAGAAGATGCAGTTGATGAATCAGGTTATATAAATGAAGCTGTAGGGACTGACCATCCATCAAACAAACTGTAAAGTAATCAGACTGGTTAGAGGAACTTTACACCAGCATTAGGAGCTTTCGGCATGTCAGAATGAATGTTTACTTCTAAATTTAGAGCAAGGAAACCATAAAGATGTAATGTTTGTAAACAACTAAACAGATTTTCATGCATAGTTTTATAACTTTTTCAATAAAATACTATAACTGCACACTCAACACTAATCCATCTTTTGGTTTTTTTTAAAAGGTACTAAGTATCTTTAAGTAATTGTCACTGTGTTCACTTTTAAGTTCATTTGTGAGATCAGGCATCTGTGTGTTGTGTATATATACAGTATTTTTGTGTATTGAATTTCAGCATATATTATTTTTAAACGGTTTTGAAAAAGCCATTGGAATGTTAAACTAATATAAAGGGAACAGCTAATTTAGACCAAAGAATGGTATTGTCACACCTATTTTGCTTTGTAACAGTTTGGTTTAATTAAAACCTCCTTATGTTTCTGTTAAATCTTTTGTTCTGGAATAGTCTGTCATTAAACACTGGCATTTTCCAAGACCTACTGTGGCAGCTAATTTTTGCTTTAATGATTATATGTTTGAGATATAGTTAATGTGAGTCATAGTTAAGAATGAAAAAGGATAGAAAGCATTTGAAAATATTTTTAAGTTTCTGAGACTAATAAAAAGTGCTGTGAGAAGCATCATGCTTTTTGAATGATGACTTTTCTTATTTCCTGTGGATATGAAGCATTGTCTATATTGTGTTATAAGATTAGGACAGACCATAAGAAATTTGTGAGAATATACTTTGGTTGGGCAGAAAAGTGGATGCCCTAGGGCAAAAGTTTTCTAAGTTATTGTATAAAATAACTGTTGCTAATAATACAGCTTGCAGTAAAAACTTTTTTGATAAACTGCCAAGACCATATGTAAGCTATGATAAATTTGTAATATTGGTATTATTGGGGGGATGCAAGGAGGAAAAGATCTCTTCTAAATATTTGTATGTTCATCACGTAACGAAGAAAAAGGGAAGAAGATGTTCAAAAATTAAGCAGACTTTTGCTAATGCTTCCAAAGTAATTTGTAAAATGCAGCATAATCATAACTCAACCTGAAAGTGTGCCTCTTGGAGGTTCCATGCGTCCTGTTGGCTGAATGATACCTTAATACTATCTGTTACTATAATGTGTACTAAAAAGCAAAGCAGCTAGAAATTGGTTCCTACAGAGTACCTTCAAGTGTTAAGCTGCCTTAAAACTGGATGTCACAATAAATTTTTTCAACTGCATATTGTTTCCAAGCCTTTAGAATTAAATATTTTGTAAAACTGCACACTAGTAGTAAGTAAAGCGTTTTTTCTATAAACTATGTTTTTCAACATTGGCCCGAAAAGACTTCTGTAGATGTAGATTATTCATATACTTTGCTTTAATATTTATTACATTTTGGAATAGTAGCTGTTCTTTAAACAGAAAATACATCAGTTAGCTAACAAATGTATTAAGAATGGCCTTCTGTGTTCATCTAAAAAAAAGTCAGCATGTCATTTCATGGTCTAGATTTAAAAGGCAGTTCTTATCTGGCTACACCTAAAGAATACAATATGTTTAGTTTTAACCTGCATGTCACAATGTATTAGTTTGTGCTATAGGAGATATTTTAAATTGAAAAACTTGGTTTTAAATTATTTTTACAGTAAGGATTGTTTTCTGCTCTTTTATATTGTATATAGTGTCTTTTATGTAATCTACTGGCATATGTTTTGTAGAAGACTGTTTAAAATGACTGGCTCTCTTCCTGCAACTTTTGAAATACAAAACCAGTGTTTTATACTTGTACACTCTGTTCTCAGTCTATTAAAATTGTTGTTTGACTTCTGGTTTCTGTCAAGAATTTATGGAAAAAGCTTTAAAGGTGTCTTATGGAAGTTTAGCATTTGTCAATATGCGTTATTAAGAAAAATTACCATATTTACCTGAATCCAAGATTACTTGAATTTAAGATTACCCCCTTTTGTCCCACTTGCTGCTTACCCTCTGCCTCTGGCAGGGCCCCAGCCCTGCCTAGTAGCAGTGGCAGAAGTGACAGCTCTGGCTAAGACCAAAACAAGAGCAAGCACATATTCTGTGCCCCAAGCTGGGTGTGGGTAAAGCCATGCCAGATCTAGAAGGTAAGTGGCAAGGGGGAGGGGAGAAGCAAACAGGGGCATAGAAGCTGTGGGGGTGGGGACGGGGGCAAGAGATAGGGAGTAGGGGTGGGGAAGTGTGGCAGGGGAAGAGGGGTGGGCAGCAGCAACTGACTCTAACCCTTACCCTAGCTTGAGGCCACAGCAGCCATCTGCTTTCCCCACCCCACCCCCATCACCTTGTACTCAAATCCAAGATCCAGGGCCTCCCCCATGTTAATTGGCAGGAACTGTCTTGGATTTGAGTAAATATAGTAACAGGTATGGGTTGTAATACACACTGGCCATGTCTACCCAAATGCTTGCTGACTGCTCAGTAGCTCATTACTACTGTGCAGTAGTATTGTGTGGCATGAAGCATGATGCATCCTACTGTGCAGTAATAGCAGTCAGTGTCATCTAAAAGCTGTTTGGCAATGCTACTGCTCAGTTGTGCATGCAAGTACTAAATGACTGTGCCATAACAACTGCACAGGCAGCATCTCATGTAGACATGGCCACTGTGGACTTTTCTTTTCCCCTACTTTTTATTTAAAAGGATGTCAAAAGATAGCAAACTGAGTGCTGGACCTAGAGCTTCTCAGTCTAAAAGAAACAGTAATGCCAAGGACATTGAGACATCCTGTCACTGAGTGGCTTCTAGAAAAAGAAAGCATGATTGGAGGTTGAACAGCCTAATCTCCTTTTCCATGAAAAGTCTGGCCATTTGACATGGCATGCCAGTGGTGGTAGTTGTTTTTGTGGGCTTTTTAAAAATTAGATGGACCCATTCTCTCATTGTCCCTGCACCTTCTATTACATTCAGCAGAGAGAGGTAGTTTAAACATGTTAGTCTGAAGTTGGGCAGAAGACATGATAGAAGTGTGCTGTATAGATTAACTGAATGGCAGATGCAAAACTTCCATGAGCCACAGTTCACTTCATTTGAAAATATCCTGTAGTTTTAATTCTAGTTACTGTAAATCAGGTTCACTAGGCAGCATATGAATCTATAGAAATAAAGAAAGACATAAAAGCAAGCTTCCTGTGTTCCACAGAATTAGTATTTACATGTTATTCACATGAACTCTGAAAGTATTTTCAGATACAGCTGGGGATAAATTAAGAATAGTCCTAACTTGTTCTGTATGTGGCTCAATGACATGCTTTTTTGCTTACCCCTGAATCTTTGCCAGCAATATTTTGGCAGAAGTGAAGCAGAGTCCTAAAATAGAAGATGTCTTCTCTTTCCTCCATTTTGCATGCTGAACTTCTCTGTAGCAGTTGCTAAATCTATAAACTTCTTCATTGGTGGAATTAAATTAAAAATGTTAGCTACCATACCAAGACAAATTCATGGAGAGAAAAGGAGCTACTGATTATCATAACTCTTCACATTGTTTGCTTGTGAACTCTTCACAGTGTTTAATAGCTTATATTAATTCTAATGTCTAGAACTGTGAAAGACTATGTTCAACCTTGATTATTATAGTTCTCTTTCCCACTTTGAGATCCAAAAGCTACTCCCTAAAAAACTAATGGTCCCCAAATCTAGTGCAAAAACATGTACATGAGATGCAATAAATAGCAGTAGTGGAGAAAGAAAGGAGTTTGAAAGTACTTGCTGATCATGATGTAACACTATGCTCCTACTATTTTCTAAAAAAAATTAACCTGTCTGAATTGTGCCATACATATGATCTTTCAGGATTATTTTGGAAAATGTAAACACTTTCCTTTGGTTCATTTTATTTAAAAAAATATGGTTGTGATAGGGAATTCTTGCCAAACCAAACCTGCACAATCTACTTCACTATCCCAAGCAAAAGAAAATGATTTGGCTGAAAAGCATAAGTGAGGTGGAAGTAGCATGTCCATGGCTTTGGAGTGATTGTTGACGAGCATGTATGTGCATATCCTTAGTTCTTAGAAGACAAGGTAGATTGGCACCTTAGCTACACTAGCACAAGTGCCTGCGAGCTGATGCTCACTTCAGATACTGCAAAAAGAGCTGTGGAAGGCAAAGTATACAGTCCTTTCACCACATCTGGTGGAGTAAGTTTAAGTTCATGGAAGCATGTGTTCTGTATCAGAAGTGTGAGCCTGAGCTTTGTTTAGCCTGAAGTGCCAACCTCCCCTGCCTTCTTGGCTGCAATCTAAGCTGGTGAAGGGCACCTGGCTCTGCTGAGCCAGCTCTCCCACAACCAATTTACCTTCACCAACATCTGCAGGCTCCTGAAGGGGCTGTGTGGGGACAAAAAACTGAGGTGTCAACTGAATCAGTCCTGGCCCGGCACATCCTGGCCCATGAGACCTGACAGCAGGCCTCAGGGCTGGAGGTGCCACAGAACAGGATGCAGTGAGGAGCAGCCAAGACCATCAGCTGGTTCACAGGTTGGAGTCACCCCACACCTTGTGCCCTCCCCCCGGCTTGGGGCAGCCTGGCAGCACCTGCAAGGCACAGGCTATGGTTTGGGGCAGGCCCGTGCTCGGTGAGGCAGGACCAGAGCTGTGGCCACCTACTCCCTATGCCTTAAATGCCCTCATTGGTCTCCTGCTCCCTCCCAATGTCCCCCCCTCAACAGGTGCCAGCAGGGAAGGGCAGTGCTGTGACCATTGCAGCTGTGGGACTTGCCTGCACCAGTGTGCCAGCTTTGGCTCCCTCAGCAGTCTAACAAATTCCCCAGGTTGAAAGAAGAAGTTCATGATAGAGTGCCAGTGATGGAAATGAGATGATTAGAGCCTCCAAGAAGTTTCTGGACATGCAGAGCAAAGATTTTTTTTACAAAGATGGGCCACAGCCAGGCTGCATCTGCAGTAGACCAAGCACACTGATGTCAAAGGTGAGTACACTGGAAGCTGGTTAAACTCAAATGGCATATCTTTATCAGGTTGCTAGAAACTTCATGAATGTCCTTCATATTCAAATTGCTGGAGGCAGTTACAGAAGAAAATTGAAAAATAATCTATTGCAAAGCAGGTGACAAATGTACTGTCTGAAAATAATAGTTTCTATATCTATACAGTGCCTACTGAAAGGTTCTCATACAGAGGACCTTCTGAGTTAAAGACAGAGTGCTTTCTCATGCGTGGCTGTTTATGATGAGACCCTGAAAGCATAGGTTCTGCCTCCGCAGGACTTGTGACTTAAAAAAAAGTTCCGATGTTTTGGTCTGTGGTTTCACCCTTTTTCATTCCACATGCCAGTCACTGGCTGCATATCAGCAGCTTCTGTACCTGATGCATGCTTTTATATAGATTATGAAGCATGTTACGATTTTTCAGAATAGAAATTTGTATATATGTGATTGTATACAACCTTTCTACCCAGAAAGGTTGTGGAATTTTCATCTTCAGAGGTTTTTAACATATGAGTATGACGGGGATGATATACCTGGGCAGGGGGGTCCTGCTCTTAACAGGGGGTTAGAATAGATGACCTCCCAAGGTCTCTTCCAACTCTAATTTTCTATGGTTCACTGATACTGAATTGTCCTCTCAGATGCCATGTAGCATTTCCTCTAGTCATATGCAACTTCTAAACCAAATACGCCTTTGAAGTAAAAGAAAAAAAGACATGTATTTATGAAGATGTGGGGTATTTATATCAATTTTTCCTTTGATTATAGGATTATTCTGAGGGTTTTGATAAATATAGACTTCTTCTGTAGCTGTCCCCACCGATGAGGAACAGGTTACTGGACTTGAATGGAAAACTTTAGAAGCACTGAAAAAGGGAGTGGTAGGTTCAGTGTGGAATAATTGTTTTCAGCTCCCTCAAAAATTTGCATTCCATTAAAGTTAGGTTTGTAAATGTGCAATAGTAATATGGACAGTAATTCTCCATACAGAATGGGGGTTTTTTAAGTCTACAATGGCAGGATATTTAAACATACCCTGTAAGCATAAGAACATCTGAAAATGCAGAGAAAAGACCCATTAAACTACTTTACTTTTGCATTTGGACCTACTTCTCATGGAGGTTGTGGGCATAATAAATACACAAGATGCTGCAGGATTTGTAAATGAAAGATGCATTACAACTGCAGAATACTATTTTTATCTGAGGAAGCAAGAGTTTGTTTACATTTCTGTTACAGAAATGACCAGTGTAGCATAGAGGTAGCAATAGCATTTCTGTGACTGTGGCATAGTTACACCAAGAGATTGGTGTGAATTTCAGACCCTAATTCTGCGCCTGCAGTCTACTTGGGCTAGTACATGTCCATCTGATGGGCCCCACATGGACCAAGCACCCACGTTTATCAAATTGAAAAACTTGAGTTTTAAGCAAATTTCTTGGAAAGCAATGGGCCACAGTATATTAGGCCTGAAATTAGGAATCCTTCTTGAACATCAAACTTAAAATTTATGACTGGCTATCAACATGGTTCAGACCATTCACTGAACTCTGATTAAGCATGTTTTCGTCCACTTGCCTTTATCACGTGAGAGCACAAGCTCTTTGAGATCTTAGGCTGCTTTGTAAGTGGTGAGAAACTAAAAGATCATACAGCATAGCACAGCAGCCAACAGAATTTAGGAATTCATTGCTCGTAGCCTTCTGTTCAGTCCACTGGACCACTGCTGTAGGCTTTTTTCCTGTTGGCCTCCTTTGTCCCATCATAAATATGCTGCTTTTGTAAGTTCTCCTCCTCCATCTCAATGACTCCAAGGAGAGTATTAGGAAATTTACATCCAGTTAACTGATATGTTAAAGGCTTATAAAAGCCAGCATGTAAGATTTAAAAAAATGTGTATACACACTTTGAATAGGTGTACTTATGCTGAATTCAGTATAGATGACACCCTAAATATTAGCCACACACCTAAAACAACTCAGAGAAGTCTATAAATTTACAGTTTCTAGAGAAAGCTGGTTTTAAGATGTAATGAGCCAAAACACACTAAAGTAAGTTATAAAACTGTCCAAAAAGGCAGAGGTCTTTAAAAACCCCTGAAATATTTCCTTTGATTTCTCCCAAGTTTCCTAGAATCGCTTTATTTTAACCAACCATTACAAAGGAAATTCCAGGCTGACTAATATTAATTTGAAGTTGGAAAGAGGAATCAAAACATGCATGGGAAGCCACAGTCAACTCTAGCTACTAAGACTAAGTACAAACAGTCAAAAAACCCAAAGCTGAATTAATTCAGTCTTTGCCAGGTTAGTGTAAACTACAAAAATTGAACAAATAAACTACAAAAATTGAACCAATCAGCAAATGAACAGACATTCACTTGTGATTCAGGAAATGTAGCCACATGCCTGCAGTAACTCAAGCCAGAAGCCAGCAGGCACTAGAGCACAGCTCTCTGGCATGGACTGTTTGCTTTCTCTTCCTGCTGCCCCTGAGGTCTGCAGGATTCTGCA